ATGTATTGACATATTGTAGCAAAGTGTTAACAGCAATGTGTCTTGTACAGATATCTGAATCACATAATTGGTGACCAAATTCTTACTTCGTTAAATACGTATAAGCAATCATATTAGAATCAAAATCCTGTCTCTATTTTTGTTTGTTTGTTTGTTTGTTTTTGTTTTTGGAGGTGGGGAGGGGGCAGTATTTCACTATTTCTTACCAGGAACATGCATCAGGACAGGATGTCATATTTTGTTTTCCAAATGTTACTGAGTTGAAAGCATGGAAATAAGATCTCTGAATTGTAAAATGGACAATATGGTATCTGAGAAACTGACTGATACTCTTCAGAACGAAAAAAAAATAAAATTACAGGGTAATATTTGATTGTAAAGGTACTGCTTTTCTATCTCTTGTTTGAATACATATAGGTATATAGTGTAGTTCTTCTAAATAATGTCTGAGAGACTCAGAAAACATCTATGTATGTGTGCATATATATATATATATAAATGTACGTGTATGGTTGGATATGGATAATTTTAAATCTGGAGACAAGCTTTATTCCCCATTGCTCACAAAGGTTCTTTGAGCATATTTTTCTTGGTTTCCTTTTTTCCCACAGTCGCAAGTTTAGAGAATATTAAAGTTTTGGTGCAATTGAGGATTGAGAGGAAGATGTCCTGGGGCAATTTCTTACAATGATGGCATAAAGGTTTTTTTGTTTGTTTGTTTGTTTGTTTGTTGGGTTTTTTTTGGTTGGTTGGTTGGTTTTTTTTGTTTTGTTTGTTTCTTTGTTTCTTTGTTTGTTTGGGGGTTTTTTGGCATTATTGGCAGAGACTGTGCAATAAACCCAGTGGATACATCTGGTCCTTTTCCTTCTTTTTTGATCTTGAAGGTAAATATATTAATTAAATTTTCTCACATTTTCTCTAAGTCTTCATTCTCAGATATATACCTAGTTCAAAAATTTATTATGCCCAGAAAACCAGACTGTTTTCTTTTTTTCATTCAATATTTTTATCTTTTAACTAATTATACAATAAGCCCCAATATAGTTTTAGTAGATGGGTTTGTCATCAACCAGAAAATTTAACCATATGACTTGAACCAGTAAAATATGTTGATTTAATCTCATCACATTTGATATTTTATTATATTTAAACAACATTTAATTCCTTCTTGAGTTATAGGATGAAAATATATGCAATTTTCATTCTTTTAAGAGAGCAAGGATTTTGTAGTCAATAATAATGGTGCTGTAAATTGGAATAATGACAGTAAATGATTTACTTTGATAAAATTTTAATCAGTCCAAGAATAAACTCTTAGCTCTTATACAGAATGTGCTTGTAACAGGATTTTTTATGTGAAAGTTGTACCTGTCTTCTTTCCTAGGAATATCAAGTCCAAAAAATCAGGAATGTCATTCAGAAGCAAATTTTAAAGCTGAGATCAATATTTTTATTCACATTTTTATTGCAAAAGAACAATAAGTAATTCATTAACAACTTTCAGACTTTAAAATATGTGTTAGTTAAGCATAACTCAAACCCTTCACGGCTCATTGTAATGACTATCATGTTTGTAGGGAGGTTAGATCAAATTCTTCTTGCTTCACAAATTCACATTCACTTTGAGTGTAATTTTAGAAATGGATAGTTAAATACTCTTTTTCATAAATTCTTCTTAATAATACATCTTTATGATAAAAATGTATAAAACGTCTAAGGGCAAAAATTAAGGAAAAATGGATAGTTGGGTCTTAGCTTGGTTCAAGCCTTGATGTATACATCATATCTTCTGCATTGTTCTGTAGTAGAATTAATCAGAAAATTAACATTCTGGTAAGTTCTCATGTTCCAGAACAGGAAAAAACTAAGCACTTTCTTACTTTGTCAATGTGATGATTTGTGAAGAGCTCCAGTGGCACTTTCCTGTTCTGCTCTTCACTGAGAGCAGTATTCTGTGCTTCTTCAAAGCACCAAAAACTATTGCCAACTTGATCAGTCTTAAAATCTTATAGAAATCAGACTTTGCACTCTCACAGTCCCCTCAGATTAAAAGGAGTCTTCTTGGTTTAAACAGATTTAAGGCTCTTTGCCTACTCCCTCAATATGCATGTTAAAATATATTCCCCCAAATTTCGGCAAGGACTCAATCAAATGTAGTCAAATTCATTGCAATTGGACTACCACAAATTTATGGATTAAGAGATGCACTCTTTTGTTGTTTGCACACAACTCCTTATCAAATATTTGAAAGCACTTCAATGAAAAGCTCTCTCTGGGATGAAGCTAAAGCCAACTTTTAATCCCCTAATTCAATAAGGAAATATGAGTAGTATGGTAGTTTTAATGGTTTGATACCAGATAAGTATGTCCAATACCTCTCACCACTCTCATTCTTTGTACAGTGATATGACTGAGTAGTGTTGTTACTCAATGATGTGCTTAAGGTGCTTTAAGTAAGCTTTAAAAAAATGTTCCTTAAACGCACAATCAGATTTTGCAAGCATGTAGTCCTATGTCTTGTCTAAGCCTCTGTTTCTCCCACTGTGTTTTTTTTCTTCTAATGATAAAAAAGAATAGTCATCTCCTAGTGGTCAGTACTTAACATGATTTTAACCAAGGAAAGTCTGCACATCAAAGGGTTACAGTATAAGATAGTGTAATATTATACAGAATAATCAGGAGTTTATTTTACAGAAGAGCCCTAAATATGTCATTAGCATGTAAGAGATTTTCAAAAGCACCTAAACAGATTATGTATCTAACTCCCATTGACTTCAAGATAGCTAGATGTCTTTGGGAGCTATGAAACTGAAAATATGATAAGACAGATGATGTTTGAATTACTAGAGTAGAGTGACACCTCTAATATAATATCTAAAAGCTGATGCATTTGGCTGGTGGGGAACGAAAGCTGTTTGGGCAGAAGTGAAAGATCTGTGGAAAGATGGGATAATTTAAATGATAACTAATGAGATCTGTGCATGTAAGGTATGAATCAAATTCCTAATGCTCTTACAAAAACACTATGAATACCATGGCAATTGCACAAAGTCAGGATATAGTGCTCCAAGACACTCACTTTTATCTAGTGTAATTTACTTCATGAAATTTTATAAACAATGACAATAGAGAAAATTAAAACAAAAAACAGAAATGAAATCTTATCACAGGTAACACAGGATGATTTTCTTCATCTTGCTGTAGCTTAAAACTAAGTACAAAATGCTAACACAGAAGAAAGGGCATGGTAAATGTTTGTAAACTCTATTTTGCGGTCTCTCAATTTGCCTTGCTGTAAAAATCACACAAGTAGCTTCTGATTAAAACAGGTCTAGCAGACAAATTTTTTTGTGTTGTTTTCCGTGTAATTCACAAAACGGTGCTTTTAGTTCCAAAATAGCATCCAGATAAGACCATGCTCAAATATTTTCCTTTGCTTGAAAACTTTCCTCAATGTCAGTTGGGAAAAAAAAAAATATCCCTGTCTTCAAAATCTGAGTTCTACCCATTCCAACAGCATGTCAGACACTGGAAAATTTCCCACTGTGGATTTTTATTTGACTGTAAACCTACCCACTGCTACTGGCATAATCAATAGGATCTTAAAATCACAATACCATTTGAAAAAAAAAAATTAAAAACTAAGAAAAATCCTCAGGTTTAAAAATTTGAGATAAAAGTTCATTGGGATAACTACCTGACACTCCACAGAGACTGTCACCTTCTTCTTCTCCTTACCAGTGGAAGCAATTCCATACGTTTTTCCTGAGGAAATTTTTCTCTCATTGTCGAGGACCATACTTATGTGATACTCATAAATAAGAGATTTCTCTGTTTTCTCACCAAAGAAGATAAATCTAGTTGAATACTAATACAATGATTTTCCTATTACAGTAGTATTTTTTAAAAGCAGGCAAACAAAACTGTCAAGGGTCAAGATTTTCATGGTAAAATATTCAGCCAATGAGATGCATGAAACAACTCCATTTCCTGTGTACTAACCACTTGGTCTACAAATTATATCTTCTTTCTTACTGTTATTCTTGCAAAAGTAACGAAATGAACACTTAGAACACAGAAACAAATGAGAAATGGCATAAATTCAGAATTCTTCTGACAGAAATTGGCTTGAAACCCAAGCGTCTTTTCACTATAGTTGGTCTCCTTTGTAAGAAAGCTACAAAAATGTCACCTTGAAATAAGACATGGAAAACAGAAATTCATCCCCATTTACCCTATAAACATGTTCACATCCATGTTATTAATGAGCCACATCACTGATGAATTTGCCCTGACTTCCAGGTTACTGATGTTATAAGAATACCTGAGGATACACAGGAGACTGGAGGTACTCATGTTCCTCTAAATTCTTTTGTGACATATTGTTTGATAGAGAAAATATGTGTTTTCTATTTAAGGAAAGTTCCTTACCTTCAGACTGAAGAATAATATAATCCTTTTTTATTCTTCCTTTAAAGAGGTAATTTTGCAGATAAATCAACGAGGTTTTAATTCAAGTATCTTATTTAGCAAACAGGATCCCTGTTTTATGCTGTCACTATTTTCTTCAAATAATATCTAGCTGTGGGATCTGGACATACTTGGAAACCCTTAAGATAAAGATCCTTAAAGTAAAGGAAAGTTTCATACAGCTGTCATGAAAATAAGTTGTCATAGCTCCAGGTTTTCTTTCACAAGACTTCCCCGCCCATAGACCCACACATGTCTAGAAACAATAGGAATTCTCTTTCATCTGGGATTTTTTTAGATTTTATTGAGCTACAAAAATCTGGAAATCTTGCACAAAATGGCCATCTGCACAATTCAAGCTCATTAGGAGTGATGTATCTCATGCTTTTGAAGCAGATTCTGTAAATTTAGTGTGTTTGAGCACAATAGAAAAAATAGCATTTTTGTCACGCTCTGTAGTGACACAGATAATTTCCTTTGTGGAAAAAAGATAGAGCAGACCAACATAGAGTATACAAGTGCAGAACTCTGGTATTAGCTCAGTTGGTTAAAGCATGGAGCTAATAGCACCAAGGTTGTGGGTTTGATCCCTGCATGAGCTGTTCATTTAAGAGCTGGATTAGATGATTCTCGTGGGTCCTTCACAACTCAGAATATTCTGTGACTCTGTAGGGATGAGTTTCATCTTCTGTCTACTAAAGGTATTCTTACATGACTTACATAATCCTTTTTTGCCTGTTTTTCTATACTCCCTCTATTCTCAGTAGTAAGAGAATTAATTTGAGGGAAAGTGTTTCCCAAAATTTTTTATATTCTTCACTCTCTCAAACAAAAAAGTATTAAAAAATTCTTTAACATTAGGACATTGCCACCTTGGAGCATTTTATAGATTTCTAGTTTCTTCTTCTTCCTCTTTCCCAGAGCATAACCAGATAAGACTTCTTAAGGTTCTTTATTTATTTTATTTGAAGTTGTTTTGAAACATGATCTTTTCTATCCTTAAAATTATATGTTGGTAGATATATGATCACATTTCTTTGCATTTTCTTTTTCTTTTATATTCTGGCTAATTACCTATCTGAAGCAGGGAGTTATATGATCAAAAAAATGTACTTTCATACTTGATTTTACTACGACTGAGAGAAATACAGTTGAATAGCTCTTTAACACTTTAGACATCAGACACTGTTTTCCAAGCAGAGATTTTGGCAGCAAAGACAAGAATGAGAAAAAAATCCATAGGTTTTTCTTTACGGTTAATTAGCCATGCACAAGTTTTTGTTCAGTTTGTTTTATTTTCTTCATTTCGTCTCGGGAAAATCAATAGTATTGCATGATTAAAAGCTTCTCACTGATATATTTTTATTTTTGCTCCTCCCTTCCACTTGTCTGTATGAATATGATGACATTTTTCATTATCCAATTCAAGTATTTCGGAATAGCTCTCTGATGCAACAATTAATAATCAATTTAAATATAAATATCAGACTATCTCCAGTTCTGGCTAGAATCATTGATTTAATTTCCTAATGACAGAAGAATTAAGTGATAGGCCCTAAGTAGGAATGCAAGCGATCATGTGAAGCCATGTGCCAAATTGATATTTTAGCAACTCTGATAACTTATTAGGATGATGGCCATGAGATGTCACAGAGCTGAATGATAAATCTTCAGTCTGCTTCTTTCCTACTTCTTATTTAAAATAATTTTTCTACTGCGAAATTAATTGGCAATTGTGTTGACAGTCAGTCATCTTTAGTAGTGCTTAAATTAAGAATATCACAATGTTACTAAATGTGAAAAAGGAAAAAGTAAAGCAAATAACTTTGCACAATAAACAAGGAGATAAAGAAGGCTGGAATCCCTTTCACAAAGGGCCAACCAAATGACACATCATTAAAGTTCATTTCATGGCAGGATACAGCTCTTAAGCACTGCAGAGTTCTATAAATGGAGAATTTCACAAAAGAGGGGTAAATTGGAAAACGGTGTATAGAATTGCTAGCCTAAAAGCATAGATGTCAACAGTAGCAGAACAAAAATATCTCAAGGCTGAAATAAACCTCTGTCTACCATGAGGATTTTGGGAGGAAATCAGAAACACAGAGTAGTGATGAATCTTCAAGGTCATATATATTTTTAAGTGACTAAAAAGGGTCAATAAGATTTTAATAAAAAACCCAATGAGACTCATGCCTATAGGCTAGATTTTATACTTTCAACTGAACAGAGAAGTCTTTAAATTAATTAATGGCTATGCAGTTTAATAATCACTCATTATTCTCAGTAGCATATTTACTCCTGATTTTAGAAGAATAAAAATATCTTACCTACTTCTGAAAGAATGTCACTGATCCAATGTAATCAAAACAGAAGGATTTTTCCCCCCATCCTTGTAGTACTCTAAACATTGACAAAATTGTAGAACTTTCAGCTAGTAATATCCTTCCATATACTTTATCAATCTGCCTTACTCTAGATTCTGTTCCAGAAAGCTACTATAGCACGGATTTTTTTTTTTCTATTCTTTGTGCTCAAGCAAAGGATGCAGGCTTTTACGATTGTGTTGAATATCAAACAACCTGGGAATGTCTCCTGAGAGAATGGTGCAGCTGTATTCTAGCCTCAGGATCTTAAAACAGATTATGTATACAGAGGAAAAAGCTCTGTCTAAAATACAGTGTAATTTCTGAACAATACTAAGAATCAGGACCAGTAGTGGTCTGAAAAGGAGTTTTAAAGCAGTGCATGAAAGCAATATATGTTGCAGAACTGTTGTTCTCCTGCATTCTATGTTTGCAAGTGATTTTCCATGTTTCCTAATGAAACTGGTTTTGGATAAACAAATGCCTTTGAAAGTTAATGCAAATTATGTGTTTTGAAAATTAGGCTCTCAGCTACAGAAACTAAGTGGACACTCCAGAAATGCAATGTGTAACTTCCCTGAAGCATTTCTGTCCTAGAACTCATTTATGGGTTTGCAACAAGCTTTGTGTAAGGGGACCACACATTGTTTTTGCTACAAAAAGAAACCAGGGATTGTGAGGATGAGCAACTCAAAAGGGTATGGTGGCTGAATGCATATTCCAAAAGCTTCACCCCACACCCCTGCTTCAAATCCTACAAAACTAAACAAATTAACTAAAGAAATCTTAGTTTCTCTAACACTGTCTTTCTGGGCAGTTATGACATCTTAACAGGTGAGCAAAACAATTAACCTGAAAAATAATGGTTAGAGTTCTCTAAATACTAAAGGTAATAAAATATACCAGTTATAAAGATTATTCTTTCAGACACATTTTCAGAGATTAAAAAATATAAATCAGACTGGTAAACTCTATGTGAGTTTAAAAGACACTTCTATTAGTAAAAGAGATATTGAATGCATCCAAAAAACATGAAAATATTTGAGTCATTAATTATTTCCTCAGATACTGTAATGGTTGTATAAGAATTTTCTATGAGAAGTAGAAAACTTTTCAAATTTCAAAGTAGAAAAATTTTCAAATAAATAATCCCTATAATTTATTATGAGGGAGGTAATTCTAAATAAACAGAATAATTCAAAATGTGAATAAAGAACATGAGTCTTAACTTTACTAAAAGGTCAAATTCTGTCTGCAGATAAATGAATTTTGAAGGAATGTTCATGGGCAGATGTTATTGGTACAAATTTAAGAAATATAATATTGGAACTATGGCTCTTTAAAGACGTTTCAGAATCATGTGTTTAACTGTGCTGTATAGGGAATAGATCTTTGTGAGAGAACTCAGGAGAACAGAAAATAATTCACTGTAGGAGGTATTGAATGTCCTGAGGACTTCTGACTGTTTATGGTGACATTACTGAGATCGTTTATTAACATATAGTTTACAATTATATTTGTGGGAATAATCTGAGTGTGGAATTATGGAGACAGTTTCTGGTGCTCTATATTGTGACTATTCAGTATTTCTGTAAATCTATCATTTTTTGTTGTATATCATATTGCCAGGCTTCAGTAGTGTGGACTAAATATATCTACACTTGGTATAAAAGTGATTTTTTTTCCTATTATTTTTATTAGAGCAAAATTGTAAAGGATTTAAATTTTTTAATGTTTGGGTGAGCAAGGCTAGCAACAGATGCTGCAGGTAGTTTTACCTGCTTGACTGTTTGTTTTTCCACTGCTCTTTAGAAAATGTCTCTTGTGAGAAGTGTATCATCTGTGTGGCAGGAAAAATTCTGCAGTCCACATGTTGCCTTACTAGAAATCCTTTCCAGTTGAGATTTATTTAAATAACTGGAAATTGTTATTTGGAAAAGCAAAATCACCCACAAAACAAACAAAGCAACACAAGGTCTCCCAAAACCAGAAACCAAGCTAAAAGAACAGAGGGAGGAGACAGTTTTCCCTGTGTATTGGGAATGGTGAGTGCTTAAAGTGCTCCAACACTGATTTCTGAGATAAGCGTTCAGCTTCCTCATTCACCTGGGAGGAATTACGATTTGCATCATGGGGAAAATGCTTTAGGCAGAAAGATTTGAATAGTTTTTGTGTAGGGAGCTAGGGAGGAAGAAGAAAATATCTCCATTTGAAACTTTTCCACTGGGCAGTGAAAATGAAATAATTCTCTAGTTTACATGGTAGGGCACTCATTAAATGGGCACTCAGTAGATGGAAGTTTGTGGTTACCAATCCCCAGTTCAAAGCCTGTCTATGTAGTTTAGTGAATGACCTTTTTCATCTAAAATACACAGCCAGTGACTGAAGCCCAGATATATTTGCTAGTTTTTCCCACTGTACCAGCAGCTCTGCTCAATCCTCACTGATAATGAGGAAAAAAAAAAAAGAATATGGATTCCATCCAGCATAAAAGCAAGTCCTATGAAAGCCAGAAAACCATGAATATGAAGGAAGTACACATACATTAAAAAAAAACACTACAAGGAAGTTGTAACTGTCATTATTGGGTTCTGAGGATGATGAAGGACAGAAAAATAAACAAGAGAAAACAGAATAAAAACACAGAACACAGGTTTTGTGTTCTGATTGTCCAAGGAGGCAACTAGAGATGAGCAGGCAGGTAAGCAGGGTTTCAGGATTTTAACCTTGGGTACTGAAATGCATTTGTTTGAGAGATTTAACAGCTCCTTGTAAACAGCTAGAAATGTAGCATCATTGATTTCACTGGGAAAGAAGTTTCCAGATTCCTACCTGTGCTGTGGTGACTGTCAGCTTCTGGTTTCCCTTTCCTCATGGAGAAGACCCACCTTTGTTTCTCCCACATTATGGGCCTTAGTGAAGTTCCTGAAAGGAATTAAAAATTGAAGTGTAATTATAATGTCATAATGTTCTTTTTCATGTACCTATCTCTCATATGAAACCATGTATTCATTGTTCATCATCCATTCATGGCAAACACAGTTTGACAAGTTAGGTGTTCCACTTCTGGTCTCCAATATCTTAGATCTGATTAATATAGTGATGTTACTCAGAGACCCTGGGAGTACTTTAGAATGCTCATTACCTTGCAAGGGTTAGCATTAGCAGAGATTCGTTGTTTGCAGAGCAGAAGACCTTTACTGACAGACAGTAATGACATTAAGACTTTATTTTAA